GCTTTGGAGAAGGACATCATGCTTGGAAGGATCGAAGGGCAGTGCAGGAGAGGAAGACCCTGGATGAGATGGATTGACACAGTAACTGGGGTAATACAGATAAAGTGTGTCAGAGACAGTGAGATTGGCTCAGGATAGAGCAGAATTCAGAGCTATTTATTGTACATAGGTTCACTATGAGTCTTAGTTGATTCAGTGGCACATAACAGCAATAACAACAGTGATTTCACTCTCCAGGAAATCCCTGTGTTCCAAATTAGGTCCATTCCTAAATCTGTCAGTAAGTAGATTCTGTACGCTATAAGTCAGATGTTTAACTTAGTATGTAGTATACCTTTCTTTGCATAAAAACACTAACACTTCCAGGTACACTACAACATCTTTCACATGTTGGTGCTGCAGTAATAATGTTTTGATACACGTTATAAAGTAGGTACCTGTTTGCTATTTTATATCATTGCTTGGACCTCGGATTGCTAATCTGGTAGGGTTTATGGGACTTAAATCATAACGAAGAGTTGGACCCACACCAGACATTCATAACCAGGGAAATGCCTGAGCTGGCAATAGATACCTCTTTCTTTGTACTGCTAGAAATAGCTGAGTTGTTGATGTTGGTTTATTTGTTTTTAAGTCACTGGTTATTTTTTTTGTCTCGCAGACACTATAAATCACATTATTGATCATGCTTCCTTCTTTGCCTTTGATGCTCAAAAGCCCAGAGGCAAGTTTGTGATTGACCTCTAGCAAGAGCACAGAAACCCCGGCATGTGTTGGGTACTCTCTTTCCCAGCGTCCTTTCATCTTCTTCCCACTGCCTCGCTTTGGTTTGGATCTGTTCTGAGCAGTCAGCTTCACGGCCACCAGCTTCCTTTCTGCCTCACTTGCCCCTATCAGGACACCATTGCTATGCTTTCCACTCCCATCTTGCGGAGTACTTTGTTCTTCTCTGCTCTGGGCCCTAAGTTCCCATTGCTTCAAACAAAGGCTAAAATCCAGCCCACTGCCCTTGAGTTGATTCCAACTCATAGAGATCCTTCATTGTATTTCTGAGGCTTTACATCTCCTGTGGAGCAGCTGGTAGATGCGAACTGCTGGAGATGCACAGCCTTTTGCTAAACAGCACAAGGTGCTAGTGATTGTGACGGCAGAGCTCCTTGTCTACCTGAAGCAGTTCCTCTGTAACCACTCCGCCAACACATGTTCCTTGACTCTGCTCAGCTGTCACTTGAGCCCAGTCCTTCCCAGACATCCTGCCTCCCTTTATGGTCCACTGCCTCCATTCACACTTCTGTTACTGCATCTCGAAAAATTCACTGGACTTGTTTGTGGAGAAAATTGTTTACCCTGGATGGGAACCGTTTGTTTATTGTTCTTTGCATCCCACTATGCTTTGCATAGGGTTGCTATGAATTATGGACACTTGATGGCACTTAACAGCAGTGACAACAATCCTTAGCCCGTTAGGAACTTTGATGATGCAGTGGTTAAATGCTTAGCTTTTAACCAAGAAGTCAGAAGTTCAAACCCCCCAGCAGCTACCAGGGAGAAAGAGAAAACCATCTCCATTCATAAAGATTCTGTAGCCTTGTGGCGTGGCTCTCCTCTGCCCATTTTCTGCCCAGTCATTCTGACTCTGGTAACAAGTTGGATGTTTTCATGCCATGTATAGTAGATGCTTAATAAATTCATGATAATAGAAGGGAGGAACATATTCTGCTATGTCAGATGTAGTAGGAGAATGAAGAATGGCCTTTGGCCTTTGGACTTTGCATCCTGGAGCTAATTGCTGACCTCCAGCAGTCATCAACGGAAGGGTGGAGATCACCTGATTATAGAGGAACTGGGGTAGGGAACAGAGCGGAGATGGATAAGAATGTGGGAGGGGAGAAAGAGGATTCACAGAGAGAAAGAAGTTGAAGAGGCATGCACTAGGAGTGGAGAAAAATGCTCATGTATTCCAAGCCACAGGAAGAGTCTATGTCCTGTCACCTGATGGTGTTTTTCTAGGGTAAGCACAGTGCCTTTTGGTATAATAAAAACTACCAGTGTATACCACTGTCACATTGCCTACCTTTCACTGGGTTTCTGAGGCTGTAAAGCTTCATGGGAGGAGACTGCCTAATTTTATCCCATGGGGCAATCTGTAGATTTGTCCTACTAACGTTTTGGTCAGCACCTCCATGCATTACAAGTCTATCTAAAATGACACACTGAGTAAAGCAGTAAGTCTTAGGGCTCTTTTTCATAAGCTGAAATCATGCTTTGGGAGGGACCTGTCTTTGCCTTTCTTTGATTAGTATTTTTCTCCTTTTTGTTATACATTGTCTTTGTAGGTCAACAAGTGCTTGTATTATGATTTATGTCTCTTAAGAGCAAACACGGGGGAGGGCTGGGAGGGGAGAAAAGTGAAACAATAAATGAATGGAATTCCAAAGTATCTGTAAATTTTCATTGAAATTAATAATAATAAAAAAGAAATGAAAAAAAGAAAATAACATAAAAAAAAGAGCAAACACAATATCCGATGTATACATGCTTGAGATAGTTTGCCTCATTGCTTTAGATTTCCATGACATTGACATCATAAAAGTAATAATGCATCTTAAATAACACAATTTTATTTGTCCAAATTTAGAAATTATTTTTCATATGAAACCAGTGTGGAAAAGTGGAAGCCATCTGTTCAGGACTCCGTTGTCCTTAATTTGGCCTTGTGTGTCTCCCTCTCCTCATGCCACTTCCTCTGAATGGCTCTCACCTCACCTCTGAGCACTTTTCTGTTCTTCTAAGATTTACTTTGGAGCACCACATCTCCTGGGTAGCCTTTCCTAACTGCCAGCTGCCCCAGGAAGCAGATTAACCCCTTCTTTGCCTCTCCATGTCCTAAACACACCTGTTGAATCTATTTTCTTATATGTATGTTTGCATGCTTGAACATGACTGCTCTTTTATAATATGCAAATAAAACATATATGTTGGCTTATATTTTTAGAGTTAAAATTATATCTTGCTCTTTTGGCGTAGCATTCTGTTATAAGCATTTCTTTATTTACTGTTTTTGTTGATGTAATTTTGACAACTGCTTATTTTATCTGGTGGGTGCCTTTCCCCATTGCTAGCTATTCAGATTATCTTGAATTTTTTTCAGTGTAAGTTTATAGTTACCTGCCAAAATTTACAGTGAAAAAAAAATCTCTTTAAATTCTTACTAGAAATAGCTGTTTATTTGCTATGAGGTTATGACAGAACAAAGCTATATTTTCAGAAACTCTCTTAAAGTTACCTTTACAGGAAAACAAAATAGTTTTTCTGACATTCAGATTCCATCTGCAAGTAACGTTTATCCTTTAGAGTATCCAGCTCTCAGGACTTAGAGTCTATTGTCCGACCTCCACTTGGGCTTGTCCAACAATGGTTCAAAAGCAGCTTCATATAATAAAAAACAAGGGACTGTGGTTTGGGCTGAATTATCAAATACAATGGCAAGGGCTTGGGGAGACAAAGAACTAAAAAATTTAATTTCATGAATACCTTAATACATTGTAAGAGGCTCTGATAGTGCCGAAAAGTCAGCAGTTCAAACCCACCATCTGCTCCAAGAAAGAAAGATATGGCCGTCTGCTTCCATAAAGAGTTAATAATATATATGTGTGCGTATGTGCACATGAATATATGTGGTACGACTCTGGTGGCCTATTTTTTTTTCCCCGTATGTACTTAATAAATATTATTTATTTTTCAAAGACCAGTAGTTGATAGTCTGATGGCCTATTGGTAAGAAGTTGTGCTGAATCCTGAAGTTACACAGTTTGAATGCACTTGTGGAAGAAGGATGGGCAATTTCACATGTACATACTTGCAAATACATACATACATATATATATACATACACATATACACATGCACGCACACACATCTACATACATATATATCGCTGTATTTAATATATACTAACTAAGCAGAAGGTTTGTAAATTTGCTAAGGAAATATGCTTAAATATATCTACAGAGTTTTCTAAGAGCTGAGCGAAGAGCTGAATTTATAATCCTTTCCTTAGGATGGGGAGTTGTAAGTTACCTTGAATTTATGCTTTAATATAAGCCTAGACACCATTCAAAAGTTTATAAATTACATCCTGGGGATTGAATGGCTTCTGTTTTGAAGTGAAATGTTCAAAGCATTGATTAAACAAGGTGTCAGAGGCTTTGGGTTCTCCTTCTCCTTCAGCCAGCTCACAGGCCTAAGACCATCAAGCCTAGTCCTTGGGCAAAGCGCTCTGCTTGGCCTTCATCAAAGCATTCTTAACAGCTTGAAGTGAGATGACGAGTGTGAGAGTGCCCAAAAACTAGAATGTATTTTGCAAAAATAAGTTGTCTTATAATTCCTAAGGAGGCAGATGGCTCCACTCTGAACACAAGCCAATTGGAAATGTGGCGTTTTCATCCTAAAAATGCCTGCCTGGCATTTACATAGTGGATAGATATTTGAGGCTTTCGGTGGTGAATATTTAATAATTCCACACCAGGAAAAGTGTTCTAAAAGTAACTCTATTTGTGTCTACAGTATTGGGTGTAATGTAAACTTCCCAAAAGTACAGTCATTAATAGTTTTTCTTTTGTATGAATTTTTAAATGAAAGTGTTACTTTTTGTCAGTTAGGCTTAAGATACTTTGAGAGGGAGAGGAAAATGAGGATCTTTGGAGAAATCACTAGGTAGCATTTCTTATAGAATTGGATAATCTCTGAAAATTTTTAAAATGCATGCCATCTGCTTAATTGCAAGTTTATATAAACATATCTTAGTTTCATAAATCCACCTTCGCCTTCTTGGGTGTAGGTTTTCCGAAATCCCGGAGGAGGTAGTTAACGGATGGCTTGTTGAAGGACAAAGTAGGCTGCTTAAGTTTCAGAACCTGCTGCATGTAGGGAAATACCCATTGTTAGCGAAGCCTCTCGCCGAAGTCCACCTCATTAACCATGGGCCCGCTCTGCCGCAGATTCCCACTCGGACCTGTCCCTGAGCCGACTGGAAGCAGTGACAGCGCGCTCCTTTGAAGAGGAAGGAGAGCATTTGAGCAGCCGGAAAGGCAGAATGTCTGAAGGAAGTGACTGTGGGGGTGGAGATTCTCTCTCCAATGGCATCAAAAAGCACAGGTAGGTTGTTTCATCGCTCTTTTTTTATTAAAGAACCAAATTGTGTATATAAATGAATGTATACCTACTCTTTTTTTCATGGTGCATACCTTAATCACTCTATCACTACAAAGAAAGGATTTAACTTGCATTATTTTCTCTTCTGTCTGTGTAAGAGGAGAACATCATTTCTAATTTTATGGGCAAAGCACAAATCTTTGTTTTAGCAACCACACTTTTAGGAGGCATGTAGACAAACCCATTAGTTGGTTATTTAGAAAGCCTGTTCAGGGACTGCTTATTGCAGTTGGTGCTGGGTTCCTTTTTTCAACATACATCTTTCATGACTCTGCTTCTCAAAGCTATTTTAGTTTCTGGTCATTTGATCTTCTGTGGGTGTTATTAAGAATGAATGGTGATATTGCCAACCTGTTGACACAATTTTAGTAATATGTAAACAAAAGACTTTCAATAATACGCCTAGGGTGTGCTGAACATGTCCATTTTATTTTGTCTGATGACCTTCGTATGCTTTTATTCCCTTACTGGTTTAGTCCTAGAGATTGTCCCAGATTAATGAGCTGTAAAAGACACCACCATTCTCCAGTGTCAGCTCAAGTATTTGTACACAGTGGCTTATGGGCGTGCTGGTATTCATAGAGCAATATGTATTTTATAAAATTCTCAGTGAAGAATGTATCTGACTGTGATTACAAAAATCACTTTTAGAGTAAGGAGTTATGAAAAACTGATTCAACAAACTGATCTTTGCTTTTTTTTGTAACCTTACACCTGCACCAAATACTACTCTACTCAGAAACATTTCCAGATCACTTCTCTGATGTCTGCATATCTGTCTCTTATTAATGAAGACACCTGTTTGTATTTACTTTGAAAAGATTGCTATGTTTTAGATAACTAGATACAACCAGGTGGTTCTTCTGTTGGGTTGAAAGGTATCCTGTGAACACGCTATTGACAGTGTTTGGTGGAGTTTAGCATCCCACGTTGTGTGGGCAGTAGGGCGTGTCTTCCCTGATTTCCTTCTGCAGTTTCTGCCGGCTCCTTTGGGAATCCAGATCTAAGTCTTCCAGGCTTACCTAAAATGTAAACATCTTGTCAAACCAGTAAGAATAAAGATACTGTCTATGGAGAACTCAAAAGGAGTGTACAAATAGGAGATGCCAGAATGAGTGCTGTCCTTAGTCCTGTTTTCTGCCTGGGAGTGATTTCTGTTCTGCTTGTCAGGACCTGGTGGCCCTTTTGTGTGTCTGCTATCCTCATGGCAATAGTTATATATATTCTTATACCATATTCTTATATGTTCTGTGTTCTTTGTCAAACTCAGGATGGTACAGATACGAAAGTTAAGGAGGAATCATTCAAAAATTGCTATCAGGACCCTTCACTAAGAAAGATTAAGCAAGATGCAACTCATTCAACATAGAAGCCTCATAAAGCATTCTCCATTCAGAGAAGGAAAGGAAAAATTAACCTTGTCAGCCTTCAGGAATGTGAGAAAGTGTAACAGATTCCTATCTTACAAAAGGAGCTTTTGTAGGAGTTGGAGTTTGTCATCCCTTTTTCAGCATGAACTCAGGAGACGCAAAATGCTAATGAGATTCAAAATCCTTGCCTTCCAGGCAACTTAAACAGAGGCTAAAATTAACTCTTCAGTTCAGTAATTAAAGCAAATCTTGGCATTTTTCCCTATGAGAAACCCAGTTTCTGCTTTATATATTATTTGATGCTAAAGCTTTAATTTATAAAGATTTTATAAATTAATCAGGATAGATAAAAACTTTTATAGTATCAAGTAGAATTTTTTATAAGGCTTTTTACATTTTCTTAATTACACAGTCCATATTTATCAGCAAACTTAAATACATCCTTTCTTTGTATCCTTAAATAGTAAAAATCAGTTAAATTATAACAGGTGTCTCTTAACTCAGATTACCTAAAGATCTTGAAACTGTCTTAAGTCTTACATACCACAAAATACAGCTATTGTTGAATTAAGATTTGTTGAAATAGTCTAAATCATCACTCAAACTTTTAATTTGTCTCATTTTTCAAGTCAAAGATTCTCACCACTGGGCCAATTGGCAGCATCAAGATGGATGGTGAAGAGATTGAGATTGTTCACAGCTTTAGTTTGCTTGGCTCCACAGTCAACACTCTCAGCACCAGTAGCCAGGAAATTAAAAGACGTATTGGCAATGGGAAAGTCTGCTGTTAGGGACCTCTCCGAAGTACTGAAGAGCAATGGTGTCTCTCTGGAGACTAAAGTGCGTCTGATACAGGCCATGGTCTTTGAAATCACTTGTTACGCATCAGAGAGCTTGACAATGACTAAGGAGGATAGAAGGAGAATTGATGCCTTTGAGCTGTGGTGCTGGAGAAGAGTATTGAGGGTACCATGGACTGCTAGGAAAACAAACAGATTCATCCTGGAAAGGGTCAAAACGGGCGGCTCCTCGGAGGCAAGGATTCTGAGGTTCCGTCTAACATACTTTGGACATGTAAGGACGGATCAGTCCTTGGAGAGGGACATCATGCTTGGGAGGGTGAAGGGACAGCACAGGAGGGGAAGACCCTCTATGAGGTGGATTGATGTGGTGCCTGGGGCAATTGGGATGGGTGTATCGGAGATTGTGCAATTGGCACAGGACAGAGCGGAGTTTAGGGCTGTTGTACATAGGGTTGCTATGAGTCGCAAGTGACTCGACAGCAGATAACAACAACAAGCTCTTAAGAATTTATTAACTGATCTTTTGGCCTCTAAAGTCAACCCAGAGTTCATTGATTTGGATATAACCTTAAATCTCTGGCTAGAGGTAGAAACATTTATACAAATGTCACATATGAGTAAAAAGTTCCATTTTAAAATAAGGAAAACATTGGACTTAATTAAATCCCTACTACCAGCAACCTAAACTGTGTTTAAGTAACCTGCATCTAATGAATATTATATTGCCATAATCTTGATGATATTTAAGACACACTGCTATGTGTTACTCTCAAACCTGATGTATCAGTGTGAGGTAGCCATACAATCTACTTGAAATCTTGTGAGAATACATGAGAAAGATATATTCTATTTTGCCATATATCTCAATTTTCTTTAATAATGAAGGATAATTTTCTTACCACTTAACTTTTCCATAAAGTTTTACATTTCATCATCTCTTCATGATACTAGTTATCCCCTCGAGTACACACACTTAAATTTAAGGATAGAGACGTGAATAGTACATGACTTATAAAACTAAAAGGAAGATTCAGAGGAAGTGTTGGAGAGAAGATGCATACGTTTAAGTGGGAAGATCACACAAGTTCTAACAATCAGGAGAGATTAAAACAGATTAATAGGACCCCCTAAGAATCAAATCCCTATCCACATAAAAAAACTTATTCAACAGGGTAAAAAGGAAGGCCATAGACTTGGGGGAAAAATTTGGTGATGATAAGGGACTCGTATCTAAAATTTATAGAATACTCCAGCACCTAAACAAGAAAAAGGCAAACAATCACAAATTAATCGTAAAATGGATATGAATTAGACCGTTCACCAAAGAAGACATTCAGATGGCAAACAAACATAGGAATGTTAAAACTCCCTAGCTTTTAGTGAGATGTAAATAAAAACAACAATGAGATATCATCTCACCTCAGTAACTGTAGCAAAGTTCAACAGAGCAGAGCAGCAAACAACAAATGCTGGTGAGGTTGTGGAGAAATTCACTGCTGGTAGGAGTGTGAAATGGTGCAACCACTATTGAAGGCGGTAAGGTGCTTTCTTAGAAAGTTGGAAATAGAAATACTGTTTGACCCAACAATTGCACTACTAGGAATATACTCTAAAGAAATCAGAGCTGCCACCCAAAGAGATATTTGCACATTCATGTTTATTGCTATGTTATTCACACTAGCAAAGAGATGGAAGTAACCCTAGTGCCCATCAACAAATAAATGGATAGAAAAGCGACAGTATAGTCACACAATAGAGTACTACACAGCACTGAAAAATAAGAAACTCATAAAATATTGCACAACATGGGTGACCCTGGAGGACATAATGCTGGGTGAAATATCTCAGTCACAAAAGGATAAATACTGCATAACACCATTGTTAAAAAACAGTAAAGACATGGGAGTTGAGGGAAAACTAAGAAAAAGGGGATAAATAATGAAACTGCATTAGAACAGATGAAGGAAAGAACTGTTTAAAAGGAATATATGATTAGGCATTATTTGTATGACAACAGTCAAGAATAAGAGGTGTATAGCAAAGTGGACTGAGGGAGAGATGAGGTGAGAGTGAAGAAACTATGCAACATGAAAGAGTCATTAAAAGTGAACAGAGGATGGGTAGGGAGGAAAATGTGAAACAGTGAATGAATGAAAACCCAACTTTCCTGTAAACTTTCATTAAAATCATAACACAAAAAATTTATAAGTTCTAGATCATGTGGACTGTATTAAATCTCACTTTAACTTATTTGTTGATGAAAAGAAGAATTTTGAGCTTTCCTTTTCTTTTTCTTTGTAAGTCTTGAAACCATTTATGCCTAAGAGATGTAATGTGGAAGCCACTGTAAATTTCACCATCTCGAGGGACTTGTCTGCAGAAGGGTCTTTTCCCTCCTCCTGTGTTCATAAGAAGTACTCCATCTTCTTCATGTCATTGCTGAGAAAAAGATTTAGCTTTACTTGTAGTATGCATTATAGCCACAACAGCTCTTCCCCCAAGTGCACTATAATGTACTTTTCTAAATGATGTTCTCTCTCCCCTTAGAGAGAGCTCTGGTGGCTCAGTGATAAGGATTGTGCTGCCAGCCCAAAGGCATTGTGTGAGTCCACCAGCTGTTCCACAGGAGAAAGCTGGGTAGTGTCCTTCCGTGGGATTTACTAACTCTGAACACTCTCTAGAAGGTCAGCTATGAATCAGTTCTGACTCAATGGTACACAACAGCGACAGTTCTCCTTAGTGTGTTTTTATGCCGAGGGATGTGCCTGCT